GCCATTGTGGGCGGAAGGCAGGGTAGCTTTAGAAGAGAAAAGGTGAGGCGCTAAGTCACGAAGGACCTTATAGGCCACTCTAAGGGTTTTGATTTGCACTCTTGCTGAGACGAGAGGTTGGCAGATGGTTTTAAGCAAACAAGTGGCAGGATCTGGCTTTGATTTTAAGAGGATCGCTCAGGCTGCTGGGTTGGAAATAGACTGTAGGAGGCAAAAGCAGAAGTAAAGGTTCAGGCAGAGGGCTATTACAAAATTCTGGACAACTAATAGTGACTTAAACTTATGGTTTGGTAAAAATTGTGAAAAGTTAACAGATTCTGAATATGTTTTGAAGACTGAGCAGGCAGGATTTGGCTGATGCATGGATGTAGGACATGAAAGAGGGGAGCTAAACATAACTCTAAGGTGTTTGGTTTGGGAAACTGGATGAATGGAATTGTCATTTACAGAGCTGGGAAGACCATGAAAGGAGCGGGTGTGGGGAGAAAAATCAGAAGTTTGTTTTTTATTATTCTTATCTTGAGATGCCTTTTGGACATCTCAGAGGAGAAGTCATTAATAGGCAATTAAGTGTATAAGTCTGGAATTCGGGAGAGGTTGGAGAAATACATTTGGGAGTCAGCAGAGTATAGATGGAATCCAAAGCCATGAAAGGGGGTGATAATATCACCTAGGAAGTAAATGTAAATAGAGAGCACTGAGGACACAGATTCCTTTTATAGTCCAGTTGCTCCTGGATAGAATACTAAAGAGGGTAAAAGACCAGAGATTCCAGGAGTAGCTCGAACTGTCCATTCATTCAGCTGGTATTTATGAGCACCGGCTATTTGGCAGAGGTTCTGCTAGGCATTGGGGAAACAGCGTGGTGGACCAGGCCATGCGCAGTGCCTTCAAGTAGTTCACATCCACCAAAGTAGACACTCAAGGACAGGAATAGAGATAAACCTCAGGACATATTATTGAATAGCAATGAAGAGGAGCAAAGTGACAATGGGAGTGGAATTGACTCCAATATCTGAGGAAGAAAGGAAACCGCCTTTACTCAATATCTGCCCCAGCAAAGATAAGGGAGACCAATGGGAACCCATGGTAACAAGATAAAAAATACAAATTAGAAAAGAAAAACGGTAAGATCACAGGAAAGAAGAAAAAAAAAAATAAGTAGAAACCAATGGTGATTGCATAGTGGCATCCTTAGCATAAACTAGCTTATACTTGGCCTATATTTTCGTCAACTTTCAAATGTCCAGAGGTAAAAATATATATATATTTTTCAGTTTTTAAATTTTCTTTCTCTTTTTTTAAATTTAAATTTATTTTTTATTGTTAACAGTATTACAGATGTCCCCCATTTTCTCTCCCTTTACCCCCTCCATCCAGCCCCCAACCCACCACAGGCCTTCACCACACTATGTGTCCCCGGGCTATGCACGTAAGTTCTTTGGTTATAATCTCTTTCTGTCCCCCCTTTCCCTCTGAGATCTGTCAGTCAGCACAGGCATATATCTTATTCTAAGAGGCATGTTTCACCACCATGCAAATACTTCCTAGGCACATATAGTATTTCATCCTTAAATGAAACAGTCCCACTAATTAGAATTGCATTCCATTCCAAAGAAACTTTCAATTATATTTCTTAATCTACCTACAGATGCAAGAAGAATAGAATAAATTCTCCAAGATGTTAAATACTTTATTTCTCAATAGCAATAGTGAAGCAACCTTCTAATACACTTGGAAGTGTATGGTGGGAGGAGGTTTGAGACCATTGATGAAAACTAAGAGCAGAAGGAAAAACAATACCAGAATTTATTTTTATATTTATTATTATTATTATTAAATGTCTTTATTGATTTCAGAGAGAGGAGGGGAGAGGGAGAGAGAGAGATAGAAACATCAATAATGAGAGAGTCATTGATCAGCTGCCTCTTGGACCCCACGTCCCTCACTGGGGATGGAGCCCACAACCCAGGCATGTGCCCTGACTGTGCCCTAACTGGGAATCTACCATGATCTCCTGGAACATAGGTTGATGCTCAACTGCTGAGCCACACTGGCCTGTGCGATACCAGAATTTAAATAAAGGCCAGCAGGAGGAAGAAGAGAAATAAGAATATAGTTGACTACTTAATGAAGATGCTTCAACAATTACTTCTAAGGGTACTACTATATGGATGCTATAAACAAACCGGCAAGGGTTACAGGGCTTTGTTACTGCATCCTACCTGGGGTCACTTTTGATAGGTTAGTTATAAGGACTGGGATGGCTCCAGCACAGTGTCTAGAACCCAGAAGGCCAAGAATCTGATTCTGATGCTAACTAAAACACTTTTCTTGAATGCCAGCATTGAGTCCTAGGCATTCTTTTGATTTATTTTGAGTTAAGTTGAGGAGTCATTTCAATTCTACTGCTTTTCTTGCAGCTTTACCCATGAATGTAATGGTGCTGCAATATGGAGCAATTCATCTAGTGGTCATGGTAATTAGTTCACACTGTTGGAAGGGGGTGGTGATTCCTCCTAACATATATGTTTGGGAATCTTAAGTCTTTCGTTGGGCAAGAATGAGAACATGACCTTACTAACTTGGGTTTAAGAGGAGCCAATAGATTATCTGACAGGGTTGGAATTCTGGAGCAGAAAGTAGAAGCACCAGAGTGATAATGGTAATGGTGAGGAGAAGTAAGAGTTTACTTATTGAAAACATATTTACTAAGCTCTTATTATATGTCAGGGACTGCACTAAGATCTGCAGATAAATAATGAGCAAAATTCAACATTTTCCCCTACAATGGAGTTTACAATCTAAAGCAGTGTTTTTTAAAAAATATATTTTATTGATTTCAGAGAGAGAAAGGGAGAGAGAGATAGAAACATTGATGAGAGAGAGTCATTAATCGGCTGCCTCTTGCAGAAGCCCGCAACCCGGCATGTGCCCTGACCAGAAATCAAACTATGATCTCCTGGATCATAGGTCCGGGCTCAACCGCTGAGCCACACCAGCAGGGCAAAGCAGTGGTCTTTAAAGTGGGGGTAAAAGCACCCCAAGGACTGAGCAAGAGGTACAGTCAGGAAACAACTACAGTGTAGAGTGGAAAATGCTATAATGGAAACCAAGATCCACGGATCAACCAAGAGTTTTCTGTCAAGGGATATGTGAAAAGGCATTCTTTGGGGAACAGGAATAAAATATTAGAACTTTACATTTACTTTTATTTTAAAATTTAAAAATATTTAAAATTTAATGTATGACTTGACAGTTATATGTCAGCAATTTTCAACCTTTTTCATCTCATGGCACACATAAACTACTAAAATTCTGTGACACATCAAAAATATATTTTTTGCCAATCTGACAAAAAATAGGTGTAATTTTAATTGATGTACACACAAAAAAATAGTAATTACCTACCCTTTTTGCTCCACAGTGACTTTTTAAAACTCAGGTGCCTATACTTGTACATAAGGATTTCTGGTACCAAGGCTTCACTAATCAGACACAATCTTATTATGCAATGTGACCAATAAGATGCAACTCTATTATATGGCCTATATATTTATGGTTCAATATAGGGCATTCACACCCTGGCTGTTGTTGTGTTGGGTTGTCATTATTTTCTTTGACAATCTAAGGGAAATGAGGTCAGTGCTTCTGACTAAATAGTCAGGTATTGCATGTTTAAAAAAAAATTCTTGCAACACACCAGTTGAAAATTGCTGACATAAGTTCATAATTTGAAATATAGATATTTTGGCAATATGGGCTTACACATTTTGATAGATGAGCACAATAAAAACAATTGAGTGTGACATAAGACTTGAGACATTTGAAATACCAAGTTAAATTTGAAACTTTTAAAACCTGGACCAGACAAAACTTGGACAGGGTAACACAGAGCTGAACCAGCTCTAGCCTTGGGCTGTTGGCAGAAGAGTGAAGGCACCTTTGCCAAACTCTCCTCTGCCTCCAGCATGTTTTTCAAGTGCCCCTTGATAAAAAATTCTTAATCTATGTATCCTGGCTTCCATTGTAGCATTTACCACTCTGCACAGTAGTTGTTCCCTGATCGTATCATTTTACAGGTGGAAGGGTCCTTGAAATTTTTTACTCCTAACACCTAGCATAGCAATTCTAACAAATTGAAGTCATTCAGTGTTTGTGGAGTCCCAAGGCAATTGACTGCTACAAATCTCATTTGTGTATGTTTAAATTACCTAATTTGTATATAGTTTGTACATCTGCTTTCCTACTGCAAAGGCCCAGTGCCTGGCACACAGCTGGCACATGATAAACATTGCATTGTAAGTGTGGGGAAAAAATTGGGCTACATTAAATGGTTAACTAAGTTGGATCCAAGGACATGCAGTCGTAGAAATACAGTAAGAAGGCACGAAGAGAGAGTTTATTTCTGGGGCTTAATATGGGGAAAGCGCAGGGTATCAGGATGATGAAAACCTCAAATCATCCAAACAACAATGAAAAACAGTAAGGATCTTCTATGTGTGCCCCGGGCACAAAGCATTTTGTCTTAAGTGCTTAAATTTCTACAGCTGAAAATGTGTCACTTACTCCACGACCGTTCTTCCTTTTCCAACTCTTGGGAATAATTTTTGGAGTAGGAATGGCGATGGTAGTGACCTCCGAGGAAAAATCACAATCCCTGAGAAAAATCACAGTAAATCCATCCACAAGTGAGAGAGAAGCTGCGAACATCAGTTCTGAGCGGGTTTTGCTGTTGCTTTATCTTGTTCAACCGCAGCTCTTAGCTGCGGTGGTCTCCGCGGGCATTCAAGCCCTTAGCTAACACCGAGACCCGGCTCCGTCTCAGAGCCGTGGGGGGGACCGCTAGGAGAGCGCGCGGCCGCGGTCGGAACCGACGGCGGGACCGTGCCACGCCTGGCGCGGGGAGAATCGGAGTTCAGGGCGTCGGGAACCTCACTGCCGCTATTGCGCAGGCTCTGCGTCCCACGCAGGCTTATTAGGAAGAAAGGGGATAAAATTGCCCAGAAACACGTGAACCAAAGGGGACCGACCCGGGCCCGGGCTCCCCACTGCATAGGATTCTGAAATTTACAATCACGAAAGTTCTATTGTCTCGCGATTGGCTCCGGGGCCGCATGACATCATAGCGCTTGATTCATCCTCGGGGCCCCGATTGGCTGGCCGCGCCATTGTGACATCACGGTCAGCCCACGTTCTGATTATAGATACCCGGCGCCTTCCTCTTCCCATCGCGGCGGTTCTGGGCTCCCAGCGCCTCCCTCCCACGTCCTCCTCGGCTCCGGCTGCTCGCGGGCGCTCCTGCCGCCGCCTCGCCGCTTCTCAAAGCCGCTGCCGCGCCTGGAGCTGAGAGGTAAGCCGTCCGCACCGGGAAACTTCGCCTGGGGCCGCCTCTCGGCCATGACACTCGCTCTAGCGCGCGGCCGGGACGAGAGGGCTGCGAGCCGCCGTTAGGTCCTGCACCCGGTGCGGAGGAACAGCTGCCGGCTCGGCCCCCG